CCCCCAATCCAAAACACTTGATGTCTGAGTTTTTGTGACCCAAGGACTGCAGCACACCAGGCTTCCCTGTCCTTCACTATCTCCTGGAGTTTGCTCAAACCCATGTCCATTGAGTCGGTGATGCCATCCAGCCATCTCATCCTCTGTCGCCCCCTTCTCCTCCTGCCCTCAGTCTTTCCCAGCATCAGGGTCTTTTCCAGTGAGTCAACTCTTCGCATCAGGTGGCCGAAAGTCGAAAGCATCAATCTGACTATACTTCAAACCAACTATACTTCAATTAAAAAAACAGTGAGGCAGTTTCCTATCCATTTGAATAAATACTGTAGTAATCAAATGATTATCCCAAACCTCCTTAGCACTTAGAAACTTAACCTGGAAGGGGTGAGGGTCGATTTTAACCCTTCAGGGCAGTGGTCAGGTAGCGATCGTCTTCCCAGGCATAGTCCGCCTTCAGATAGGTCTGAGGAAGAAAAAGGCCCAGCAGCCCCCGGCGGGGCCTCAGAGCAGGTATGAGAAGTCGGGTGGTAAGAGCGGCCGTGTTGACTGGGCGCGTGAGACTGCAGCCCTGCACAGAGCGCTTTGACAGAAAGCGGTCACCACGCCGCCACAGCAGCATTTTTAGCCAAAAACGAATGAGGAGAGAACAGATGACAGCTACTCACTGTGAGAGCTGAGGCTCCAGGTGGCTCCATGGTAAAGAATCCGCCTGCCCGTCCAGGAGGCAGGGGTCAGACCCCTGACCTGGGAAGATCCCGCAAGCCACAGAGCAACATTGAGGCTGTGCTCTGGAGCCTGGGAGCCGCCGTCACAGAAGCTCTCGTGTCCTAGAGCCTGTGCGCCACAACTACAGAATAGCCCCCAATCACCCCAACTGGAGAAAAGCCTGCAAGCAAGGAAGACCCAGCACAACCACAGAGAAATAAATGAATAAAATCTTTAAAAAATGAAAGGATTCAGATGAGTGCACGGAGCCAGCAAGCAGTGTCCCACCGCGAGGGTCCCTGCACCCCTGTCCTGCACAGGTATTTCCTGGTCAAATGTAGGAGAAACCCACCCCTCTCCATCGCTGGCTGTTCCTGAGAACCTCCCCTCCAGCTTCCATTATTCTCCACCTTGTATCTGCCGGTAAAACAGGACACTTGTGTTTCCAAACAGTGGTCACAAGAATACCTCCAATCTTACCTGCTGTCCTGGCATTCTTCACCAAGAGGCGGGATCTAAGTCCTCTTGCCTTGATCCCAACCAGCCTGGAACTGGCTTACAGTCAAGAGTGTAGCAAAAGTGTCACACATGGTTTCCAAAGCTGGCTCATAAAACCTGAGGCCATTTCTACCTGGCAGCTGGAATCCCTGAGACTCATTGAGAAGCATGACCTCACTGAGGCCCTCATGCTGAGAAGATGCTCAGGCCATGCGCAGGTATTCAGGCTGAAAGTCCCGGCTGACAGCAGCAGCCGCCACAGAGCACAGGCAAGCCTTTGGATGATTCTGGGCCTCAGCCTCTCTGTATCCCCAGCCGAGCCCCCCGCCGTCGTGGAGACTGGCCACGGCGGCCACTGCAGCTCATGAAGCGCCACAACAAGGACGTGGAGGACAGGCTCTCTGTTGACTGCTGTCACTTTGAAGAGTGTCTGTGAATAGTCGGTGCTCAAGAAAACTTGAGTTTCCCTGAAAGAAACTTGAAAATGAAGACAGAATAACCCAAAACTCACAAAGCTCTGTGGAAAGGCTGGATTAGGGAACTTGGTTGATCCCAGAGGCCCAACTGGAGACTCTCAGCACTACCACCCAAGGGACAGTCAAAGGGAGAGTTGGGTCAGCTAAGTGCCGGCCCCTAAGTCCCCAGATGGCTATCAGGATAGACCGGTTCTCCTCCAGTTGTGCATGCCCTCCAGAAAGAAAACAGAATGGCCTCGGCTCTTCCTTCTAATGGGTGAGACTCGGGTGGTGGGCACATGGGTCACGAGAGCGCATCGTCGAGAACAACATGGTGGCCACTCTCCTGGCACACACGGCCCCAGGTCTGTGAGGCTCTCACCAGCCTCCCCAGTCAGACGTGACTCGGCTCCTCTCTGGGTTCAGGCCAGCAAGTTGGATGGAGAAAAACAAAGGGTTCAACCCAATCCTCCAGGAAGTGGGGGAGAGGAAGTTCTTCCCCTCAAGATGACCTTGAGAAGAGGGTAAGAAAATTCCCACCTAGACATCATATTGACATCCCAGGTGGCTTGGTGGTAAAGAATCCTCCTGCCAATGCAGGAGAAGCAGGAGACGTGGCTTCAGTCCCTGGGTCAGGACGATCTCCTGGAGGAAGACATGGCAACCCACTCCAGTATTCTTGCCTGGAGAATTCTATGGACAGACAAGCCTGGAGGGCTGCAGTCCATGGGGTCGCAAAGAGTCAAACATGACTGAGCATGTGTGCACACATCAGACATCACCTTAAAGGATTTGGGGTACAATTGGTCCACCATTCCCCACAAGGCATCTGTGTTAAAGCTGTTTTTACAGTGCACTCTGAGCTCACTGATGCTCATGAGAGAGACCCAGATAATGAAGAATGTGCCCCACGTGTCCACAGCTCAAGACCTGCTCAGAGAGGGAGCACTGGCTTGAGCTGGGAGAGTCTGAGCAGGGCCCAGTGGTCCACTTTCTTTCTGAGGCTGGGTCAGACCTGGCTCACCTCTCCCCCAGCCACACACTGCTTTGCACAAAGCAAGTACTCATCCTGGTGGAGCTCTGACTGGGGAGGGAGATGGAGGCACTGGACAGGGTAGGGGGCAGAGAGAACATACTGCCCAGCCCCGGGAGGGAGATGATTCGTGGAACACAAACAGCCAAGCTCAGTCAGACACACCTTGGTTTTCTTGGAAGACAGTAAGACACAGGAGAAAGGGCCTCGGGGCTCCCCTGGAGAATCCCCTCCTTCTGCCCCATTTCTGAGCACCAAGGCTCCAGGCTTTGTGTTCAAGTCTGGTCTTAGATGAGAAGGTCAGGCTGGGCAGGTAAGTGCCAAATAAGTAGATTGGAGTCCCTGTGTTCCTAGAGGTGCTGCCAGATGGGAAAACAAACACAAGAATAGGATTTTTTTAAATATTTGCAGTTTCTGAGGACCACTTCCTCCCCCATTTCCCTAGGAACACCTTTGGGCTCTGGAGAGTAGGACAGCAGCTCCCGTTTGGACTTTTCGTCCGTGTGTCGCCAGCAGCAGCGGCAGCCTCTGGAGGCTGCTGCGGTTCCCCTTGGGCGTCCCCAGTGGCTCAGTGGTGAGGAATCCGCTTGCAGGGCAGGAGCCACTGGAGATGAGGCTGGGCCCCTGTGTCAGGAAGCCCCCCGCAGGAGCATGGCAACCCACTCCAGTGTTCTTGCCTGGAGAATCTCATGGACAGAGGAACCTGGCAGGCTACAGTCCATGGGGTCGCAAAGAGACAGGACAGAAGAACTTAGCACGCACACACGCGCAGTTCCCCTTGTATAACAGGTGCTCCATCAATGTTGGTCAAATCAAAGAAAAACTTGGGAGGCACCCTTGTGTATTTTAAGACTCTTGTCCACCTCTGGACCTGAGCCTTTGGGTTTCAGGGTTTTCATGGTCCCCACTGGTATGACAAACACCTCCTGAGTGACAGAAGGCTAGCAGACCACCTCTGCACTAGATGAGTGTGGTCTGTGGGGCAGATGCCTCACTCACCAGCCTCATCCACAACTTGGAAGTCTACGGGGTCCCCAACACCTGAGAAATCTCCAATCTTTCCAAAGGCCTTTTGCACTGCAGCTCGTTCTGGCCTCTGCCCCTCCCCACACACCCCCAACACACAGTCCCCTCTCTTGACCACAGGCCTTGGAGGGACAGCTCTCCCTGAGGATGAGAATTTCAGAGACGGAAGGAATCTCTCATTTGCTGCAAAGGTAGCTTCCGGCTGGTGCTGGGCTTCATCCTGATGAAGTTTTACCCTCTGGTGAGGATGGGCTGGAGAGAGCTTTATCCACAAGCTGGCATCCCCTCCCCACTCCTGGCTCCAGCTCTGCCTCCCACAGGAAGTCCAGCCCAGCCAAGGAGGGTGCCCAGGAACCCCAATCTGATGGTGTAAACCTTCTTGATTACACCACTCCAGCTCCCCTCAATAATTATATGTGGGAAGAGAAGGTAAAAGATGGCCCTGACAGTGACTGTGTACACCTAGCATCCCACCCTGCACTGCCTCTTACCTCCCAAATAGTAAAGAATGAAGTCATCCAGCTGCTATGCATCAGGCAAATTCAAGGACTGTGGACACAGCAAGAAAGAGAGCAAAGGCGACTGGCAGCAGCTGCTTCTCCCGCTGCACCGCCATCTCCCTCGGAAATGACATTTATAACAATCCCGAGCCTCTGACTCACCGGCTGCCCTGATTCTTCCTGCCAGCTGCAAATTTTTGGAGCTCTTTGTCATCGACAGGAATGTCCATGATTGCTAGTGGTCCCCACAGCCTTGGAGCTTGGCTTGGTGGCAGAGTACAGGAAAGGGACACGCTGGACAGTCATGGTTTGGCAGACCAACCACCTCTGCTCCGAGCTGCAGATGAAAGCCCCAGTCTTGCAGAATCTCACCTCCAAGGGCCACAGATCAGCTATAAGGCAGGGACAAGAGGATGGGGCAAAAGGATGACACTTGGGGCCACATTTAACTCTCGTTTTTTTTAAGGCCCCTTATCTTTTTCTAGCAGATCCCAGACACCTCCAGTCCTGGAATCGAGGGTTCAAACTGGTGTGTCCCTTCCCCTTCACAAGTCTGTGAACAGAACAGACTTGATTGTAGCCAACTGTTCTCCTTTCTGAAGATCTGAGCTGGAAAGCCTCACATCCATTCTTTCAGGCTTGAGGGCCCAAGGGAAGCTGAAGGCAACTGCAGTCTGGGAACAGGGGAGGTGGTGGAAGTAGGGGAATCTCAAGGTACCCCTTATGCAGAGTGCATGCAAATGGACATCAGCAGGTGTGGAGATGATACGATGTCTGGCCAGGTAGAAAGAAAACCCAGAGCAGTGTTTGGACAAATGTGCTACCTTGATTTCCATCCAAAAAGCCACAGAACTCAAGGTGAGAGCTGTCAGCTCATCCAGGTGGCAGGTAGAAAATCAAGGCCAAGGTGAGAGCACACGCTCACTTCCAAAGTGGACACTCGCTCCAGAGGGGTCTGTGGGGACCCGACGAGTGAGCACTGGAAACTCCTCAAGCCACCGGTTTACTCCAAAAGCACCTTCCGCTTCACGGACATCACAGAATTTGGGGTCAAGGCTGTGGCGGTGCCCAGGGGCGCCCTGTCTGTCTAAAGGGTTTGCTGGCAGTGCCCAGTTCTCAAGTTACCTATCTGGTGTCAACCTGGGGCAGCCGTGGGACTGGGACATGAGCAAGATGGCAGTATTTCAAACAGACACCCAAACACCTGTTTTTCTTGTGAAGTAAAAACAAGTTAATAGTCACACCAAAACCATGAAGAAAACCACAAGTGACCCAAGGATTTCTGACTCACCCCCCAGTGTGAGTGCTTTGTGACATTCCACCCAAAGCCGTCAGCCACGTTCGGGGGCACAGAAGCGCCAGTCAGCAGTCCTTTTGTTTCCCTAACCGGGGGTGATTACCCGTGTGTGCCTGCTCCCAGATGCCTCTTGCTTTCAGACTGAAAAAAAAGAAAGAAAGAAAGAATAAAAGAACAACAGCCAGAAAAAAAAACCACTCAACTTTCCCTTAAGCTCAAGTGACTAAGACAAGCTGGCAGGGACCCTCCCTCAGACCATAATTGTGGGAAACCGCTTGCAAAACAGTGTTCTCTGTAAGATAAACTGTCTGTTCCCAGCAGACAAGTGCCACACCTGAAAGAACCAGTAAGAGCTTTCCTTTAAGAAAACTTCGAGAAAACACTGAGAAAGCTCACTCTCCTACGCGCCAGGAGTAGCTGTGAGACTGACTTTTACAGCCTGAGAAATACATTTTTCTTTAATCTTAAAAAAAGAAAATATTCAGCACAGCGTTCCCCCAATTCTGGAGACTTGTGTTAGCAAGCTCTAACCCAGCCTGGGGCTCTGTGACCTCCCACGAGCAGGGGGTCTGGCACATGCCTGACACAGGTCAAGGCCGTTCCTGGCCAGCCGGGCCTGCACCAGCCACGAGTCCAGCGTCCACCAGGGCCCCGGGGCGGCCAGGCGCCAGGGCCTTCCTGGGCTTGACACGCGCCTGCAGGGAACGGGGCCTGGCCCCCAAGCCCAGGCCGCCTTCCTCGGGCGGGGCTGCAGGCTCAGCGCGCTGTGAAGGTGCCTGTTCCCCACGCCGCCCCCAGGGAGGGCAGCGGGGCAGGGGAGGACCGGGACCATCTACCCCGTTCACGTCCCCCTCGGGGTCTGACCGGAACTTGAGGTGGCAGAAGAGGCGCCAGCCCCACCTCCACCTGCCCTCTGCCCAGCACTGCTCTTGGGCGCCCAGACCCTCCACCCAGCTGCCCTGCTGTGTCGACGCCGGTTTTGGCCCCCTGGAAGCTCGCGGGGGCCCAGCCCACTCAGACTCCCAGGGACCACCCGGTACGCCGGCCGAGAGCCCGGTGCTCAGGGCTTAGCGGCAACCGAGGGAACAGCTGGGACTCAAAGAAGAAACGAAGCGCAGGCGTATGGAGCTGTTTGGGGCCCTGGGTGAGCAAGGGCCGGGGGTCAAAACCCCACCTGCAAGAGCTACCCCCCTACACACTTGTCAGTGAGCGTCAGCCTAGGGCACAAGGAAATCTGACTCTGCTCAAAGAAAAACATCTCCAGAGGTGTCTCCAGGTACTGGGAAGCGCCTCCATTCAAACCCCGCCTCCCAAGTGGGCGGAGCTTGTTACCTCGGCCTCTCGGTTGACTGTTTCCTGGGATGCGGCGGCGCAAGAAACTAACATTCACCGAGGGCCTGCTGAGCGTTCTCACTAGGTTTCAATACAGTGCTACGGACCAGAGTTCTTGGCCTCTTTAGTCAATAGAAACTGATCAGAGGCCAGGAAGAAATTCAGGTAAGGCTTTACTGGGCCCCTGCTGCAGCAGGGGGCTGAGAACCAGCAGGTTTCCTTCTCTGCTCCCTCCGCAAGGTGGGGCACTGAGCTGCTTCCGTATTTGGGGTGAGGCTAGGGGTGTGTCCCGGTCGGTCTAGAGGGGTGGCTCGTTGTGTGCAGGGGGCATGCGCGGTACCCTGCTTTTGCTCCCAGCTCTCCATGTTGGGCTTCCCTTGTGGCTCAGCTGGTAAAGAATCCGCCTGCACACTGTTTATCATGGCCAGTACATGGAAGCAACCTAGATGCCCATCAGCAGACCAATGGATGAGGAAGCTGTGGTACATATACACCATGGAATATTACTCAGCCATTAAAAAGAATTCATTTGAATCAGTTCTAATGAGATGGATGAAACTGGAGCCCATTATACAGAGTGAAGTAAGCCAGAAAGAGAAAGACCATTACAGTATACTAACACATATATATGGAATTTAGAAAGATGGTAACGATAACCCTATATGCAAAACAGAAAAAGAGACTCAGATGTATAGAACAGACTTGTGGACTCTGGGAGAAGGCGAGGGTGGGATGTTTCAAGAGAACAGCATCGAAACATGTATATTATCTAGGGTGAAACAGATCACCAGCCCAGGTTGGGTGCATGAGACAAGTGCTTGGGCCTGGTGCACTGGGAAGACCCAGAGGGATCGGGTGGAGAGGGAGGTGGGAGAGGGGACCGGGATGGGGAATACATGTAAATCCATGGCTAATTCATTTCAATATATGACAAAAACCACTGCAATGATGTAGTTAGCCTCCAACTAATAAAAATAAATGGAAAAAAAAAATAGAAAAAAAAAAAAGAATCTGCCTGCAATGGGGAAGACCTGGGTTCGATCCCTGGCTTGGGAAGATCTCCTGGAGAAGTGAAAGGCTACCCACTCCAGAATTCTGGCTCGGAGAATTCCACAGACTGTATAGTTCATGGGGTCGCAAAGAGTCAGCTGAGCGACTTTCACTTTCACTCCAAGTTGGGCTTTTTGGTATCTTTGTACCTCAGTGTCCACAATTTGCCCAACTGTGCATGCAGGCGGTTATTTTTAAACACATACAGTTCCTTTGTATTTTGTTGCTCCAGGACAGGTATATCTAGGTGCAAGCATTGCATCACTGCAGCAGAGGGTCCCAGGTCCCCGCTTGTTTCAATAGGATCACAGTCAACTTAAAAGGTGGGCAGTTTTGCCCATTTTAATTAAAAGACACTTGCTTCTTGGGAGAAAAGCTATGACAAACCTGGACAGCACATTAAAAAGCAGAGATATCGCTTTGCTGACAAAGGTCTGTATAGTCAAAGCTATGGTTTTTCCAGTATTCATGGATGGATGTGAGAATTAGACCATAAAGTAGGTTGAGAGCCAAAGAACTGATGCTTTCGAACTGTGGTGTTGGAGAAGACTCTTGAGAGTCCCTCAGACAAGAAGGAGACCAAACCAGTCAATCCTAAAGGAAAACAACCCTGAATATTCACTGGAAGGACTGATGCTGAAGCTGAAGCTCCAGTAGATTAGCCACCTGATGCAAAGAGCCAACTCACTGGGAAAGACCCTGATGCTGGGAAAGATTGAGGGCAGGAGGAGAAGGGGACGACAGAGGATGAGATGGTTGGATGGCATCACCGACTCAATGGACATGAGTTAGAGCAAACTCTGGGAGAAGGTGAAGGACAGGGAACCCCGGCGTGCTACAGTCCACAGGCTCACAAAGAGTTGGACACCACTGAGTGACCAAACAACAAGAAGGGATGAAGAAGCTGAAGCTGAAGGAGATGATGTAATGTGTGCAGGGCCTTGTGGGCAGCTGTCGGGCCGCCAGTCCCATCCATCGGCATCAGAGAACTGTCCGTCGCTGGTCTGCAATCACACACGCAGGCGGCGGGAGGAACACACCGCTTCTCACTTTCCAGCCGCACCCGGCAGAGGCCAGGCCTGAAGAAAAAGGATCTGCAGGGTCGAGTACTTGAGCCTCTGCCACAGGGGGGCCCTTGGCTCTGGGCATCTCCGGGAAAAGGTGGGGGTGGGGCAGTCCAGAGGGTCTTCCCCCAGAGGGCATCTCTGAGCAGCCTCCCCAGGCGCCCTCTGGCACCTCTCGTCAGCATCACAGGTCAACACCGCTGTTCGGCCGGCTGCACGCATGCAGCCATGTCTTTAGCCAAGACATTTCTACAGATCTTTTTTATGGGTATTGAAAAGAAATAACCTTGAATTTGAGAGTCGTAATGTTCCACTTCTGCAGCACTCAGAGTCTATCTCACCCCTGAGGCTCCAAACCCAGCCATCAGCAGGAAAAAAAAGTCCTCTGAATCTCAAGAAAAAAGAAATCAGTCACTCCAAAAAGCCAAGACCCCCTCTCTGGACACCTTAGCTTCGGCGTGTACAGACTCAGGATGATGTGTAAAGCGGGAACCCTGGCAGCCCTTGGAGGGGAGCGTCCAGCCAGGCCCCGCGAAGCACAGGCCCTGCTGGCTGGCGGCCAGAGACAGAGAACAGCCAGGAGCCACGGGACCGCTGTCCGCAGGCCCGCACACCCACTGGCGGCAACTGCGGGTCGAGCTTCGGCGATGCGCGTGACTTCTACCTGGATACAGTCTTTGAAGCCTGGTGGCCCTGCAGGTGAAAATAGTGAAGATTTCAGTGCAGACTCAATGAAGCCAAGACAGTTTGTGGAACATTCCAGAAAAGAGCTCCTTAACTCTGCTGTTCACTGGCTTTTTGTTTTTTCACATCGAATGAGCATGTTTGTTCATTGGTACCTAATGACTGCACAGCGTTGTTAGATTCTGCCGTGCAGTGAAGTGGCTCAGGTGTAAGCATACAGCTACCCCCTCCCTCCTGGGTCTCCTCCCCACCGGGCAGCCACCCTGCCCCCAAGGTCGTCACAGAGCACCAGGCTGAGCTCTCTGGGCACTGCAGCACCTTCCCACAAGCTGTCTGTGCATTCATGTCCGTTCTGCTCTGCCGACTCATTCCAGCCTCACCGTCCCTCCACCCTGTATCTGCATCCACATGTTCATTGTCTATGTTCCTGG